TACACAGTTGTTTGCAAATTATGCGCATCGATTAAACCTAATTCTCGCATTGATGAAACTCAGACCGCAGACCTAACCAAAGGTTTTTATCAATCGGAGACGTTGAACACACTACAGTTTCATTAGGAAAATGTTTCTATCCCTCAAAATGCATGAATACAAAACTTCAGATATAAAACCATAATTTCATGGTGGCACAAGAGGATATTATTGAATGTAATCAAGCTCAAAAATAGCTTCGATCAGTTGACTGATTTTGTCATATTCCAAGATTAGATGTCTAATGTTTTGTCTTTCTAGGAAAACCACATGTTATATGAGTTATTAACTTGTCATTAGGTATAAGGTTAGTCGCACATGGTATGATACCGATCATTATATGAGGAATAATTTATCATTAGCCACTTTAAACTTTTGAATAGTTTACAAATTGTAAATGGATACAATCCTTCACTTTCAACTCTCACATAGTTTGCAAATTATAGACACGCAATTGCCTGTAAATTATGTGTATATCAGCAATCTATAATTTCATGAAATTATATGTGTGTGTGTGTATATATATATATATATATTGTCATTATCATATATATATATATATATATATATATATATCATGCAATTTGGTTATAACAGGGTGTGATGTTAACATATATGTTTGTTCAAAAGATCATTCAATGGAAATGAGGATGTGATGGATGAAGATTTCTGTGATGTCATTGGGAAGACTTCTGAAAAGATCAACATTAATGAGAAAGATATGATCGCTTGTGATTTGTAAAATTAAATTAAAGAAAAGTGAAATTTTCATTATTATATATATATATATATATATATATATATATATATAGATATAGAACGTGCCTCATCCACTCTTAACTTTTTTGTCAAATTTATTGGATAATATTGAAAGCATAAATGGTAGCACATTAACTTTAATTTTCTCTATAAAGTTTGATATAAATATGAAATATATATGCATACATACTCAGTAATATAGAACAATTAAAATGCCCACAAAATTACGCATGGGCTGAGGCCTGAAACAATTTTAAGGTTCATTTCATTAGGAGGCCCACTTCTATGGCTTGCAATAAAGAAAATGAAATAGAAGCTAGAAGAGAAACTGCTGGTTTGGTACAACAGTAATGAGTTTCTTTTGTATGAATAATTGTTTTATATTTTGTGAAACAAGCCGCGCTTTTATTTTAAATAATGTTGTCCCTCTGTATAATGTCTAAAAACTCATTTCAAAATGTGTAGACTAACAAAAAAAAAAAAATGTTTTAATCCATTAGCTAATGAGAAAAAAATGTTTGTGGCCTTTATAGAAAATATTCGGTACAAAATAAAATAGTCGTCTGCATTAATCAGAAGTCAAAAAGTTATTTTAGGACTAGGCCGAGCTTTCCAAGAGCTCACATTGACAGAAAAGTTTGGCACCTTGATGTAACACTCCTTTTTTTTTTTTAGCGTAAAATAATTTCAGGAAATGAGCCGATCCCAAATGAGGGAGCTCTAGCCGAGCTACCGAATGCAATTGCCATTCATGTACAATCCATACAATATATCTACATTCCTTTTTTTAGTAAAGTTTTTTTTTTTCATATTTTATTTCTTATTTTATTAGTAAAGACTTTCTCTACATTCTTGACAACTCCATCTTTGTCTCACTAGAGTTTTACAAATTATATTAACGTTATATTTTAAATCATGATCTTCTACATTGGTTCTATGTTATTGGGAGCATATGTGAGATTTATGATGGTTTGTTTCTTATGGTGTTTTTTAGTCTATTGGGAATTTATTTTCCAACAACGACTTGGTACCACATAATTATTAAAAACCTACACTTAGCAAGTTGTCAATGATCTATATATATATATATATATATATATCATATAGAGAGAGACGTGCACTTGTATACAGAATATTACTAACAGTTCAAAATTGTGCAACATGTATTAACAAAAAATAAAGGGTTAATTACAATGACACCCCCGAAATTTGCTGTATTAACAGGCATGTATAAGTTTTCCCTTTTTTGAACAATGAGACCCCTAAAAATTTGATAAAGTTGACAAAACACCCCCTGACACCATCTAGCATGCCTGACAGACGAAAAATGAACCAATTTGCCCTTTGACTTGTTTGTGGACCTTTATTACTTTTCATTTGAATTAATTGGACCAAACTACCCAAATTACCATTTGATGGGAAAAAAAAAAGTCCGTAACAGCCAAAACTACTGATTTGGTGCCAAAAATTCTCACAGGCATAACTACCATATTGACAAAGTTAATTACAACGGATTTTGCTATATATAATGGAATTGGCTATATATAACCTATATTTAATATTAATGGTACTTGTAATGAATCTTGCCATATATATATACATGTCAAAATACAAATAGTGAAATAAAAGAGAAATAATATAGAAAATGGCAAGTGGAAGATTTGTTTCATTTTAAGTACAAAGTTTTGCACCAAAAAAAAAAAAAAAAAAAATTACATGGAACTGAAGCTTTGCACCAAAATAAAATTGAAGCTTTGCAATTACAATGGAATTTAAGCTTTGCAACAAAAAATAAAATAAAATAAAATTGGTAAGTACTTCCGTTGTCCTTTGTAACATTGCAACAACAAAAGCTTTGCACCAGGAAAAAAAAAAAAAAAATTGCAAGTAATTCAGTAGCCCATTACATAACCATCATTTAATATTAATAAAATCTTAACCTGAATAAAGTAGCATTACAGTCATTACATAGCCATCATTTGACACCAAAAATTAACCAACTTTGAGGTGCAGTTAGCAACTATGTTATGCAATTAGCAACAAATGCATGTGCAATAAAACAATTGTGCAAACAAAAACTAACTTTTCAGTGTAACCAATTAACAAAAAAACAACACAACTCGTGTTCTTCTATGTGTCATATGTGGCATTTACAAAAACATAAACGTTACCTAACTTCCAAAAAACATCATGTTGATTGCCAAATCCTAGTACTGGGGTGGACCAAATACTCCATCACTTGTTGAGGTTCTATTGGACTGAGTGGGTGGTGTAGTTGATGCTAATATGCTTGACTGTATGGGTTGTGCATAATTTGTAACCTACAAAAATAGAACAAAAAAATCCATCCATTTAGAAATAACATCTGAACTGAAGTAAGATATTTACAGTGAGAAAAACAAATGCAAATCAAATAAGTGCTTATATTGGATTGGGTGGATTGGCTGGCTTGTGGTGGTGCTGATGTTCCTGCAACTCTATTAGACTGAGTGAGTTGTGCATAACCACTGATCTACAATTGCAAGTGTACATTAAAAAATAACTATGGCATATTAAACAAATGCAAAAGAAGAAAAATTACTCAAAATAATATGGCAAATCAAACAAATGCAAATTAATAATCACGACAATAAATAAAGATTCTATAAAACAAGAGACAAAAGAAGAGAAATTACTCAAAATAATATGTCAACCAATGAGTAATTTAAGAAAGAAAAAATAGTTAATAAAAAATTTAAAAAGGAAAGAAAAATGAGAGAATTTTGAAAAGGAAAAAAAATTGGATTTCATTTTTTAAAAAAAATTGACTTTTTTTAAAGGAAATTAAACGAATTTAAAACAACCAAGGATTATCTGGAAAAAAAATTGGATTTAATTTTTAAAAAATTTGACTTTTTTTTAAAGGAAATTAAACGAATTTAAAATAAAAAGGATTACCTGGAAAAAAAAATTGGATTTGATTTTTAAAAAATTTGACTTTTTTTTTATAAAGGAAATTAAACGAATTTAAAATAAGCAAGGATTACCTGTGCTGCTGTTGCTGTTGCGGCTTGACTCCTTGTCCTTGCTCCTTCACTTTTCTTTCCTCTCCTTCCTTTTCTTGAAGTTGTTGTTGAAGTTGATGCTGACCCTTGTTTTCTTTTCCTTGATCCTTTGCTTTGAACTTGAGCCCTTTGACAGCCCCTTTTGTTGTGTCCAGTACACATGCATATGCTACAATGGATAATGGTAGACCTCTTACTAGCCCGTGGTTCACCAACTTCCCTCTTTCTTTGCACTCTAGGTCTTCCTGCAGGCCTTTTTAGAATTGGAGGAAGCAAATCCTTCTTAGGTACTTCATCCCATAAAGTCTCATGGTGCATGGGATATATAATATTTTTGTAAGCTTTCACATAAGAGTACCTACTGAAGAATTCGTGACAATACTCCTCAATATTCTCTCTTCTCTATGTAATACATATTGCTGCATGCTTACATGACACACCAGTGAGTTGCCATTCCCTGCAACAGCAAGTTCTGCTCTGAAGATTGACAATACATTTGAAGGTATTTTCCTCTGTTACCTCATAGAAGTCACCACCTGGCCAGATCAATTGACATGTTCCTGCCTTTTCAATAACTAAATTCAACTTATTTCTGATTTTTGGGACTGCAAAATTATCCCAAGTAGCAGATTTTTGAAATCTTTTAGAGAATTTGCTCATAAGCTTAATTCTTATACCCTCAAACATAGCAGTTATAGGTTTTGCCCTTACCTTCTTAAGCCATGAGTTTAATGACTCAACTGCATTATTTGTCAGAAAATCACACTTCTGTCTCTCATCAAACCTATGCCTTGCCCATGTTTCAAGTGGATGGTTCATCAACCACTGCCATGCTTCTGGACAATTATTTTGTATCTTTGCCATAGCATTGTTGAATTCCAACTCTCTATGAGCCCTAGCTGCCACCCAAAATAATTTTCTATACTTAACACCAGGATATAATGTTCTAAAGTTAGCATAAATATGCCTGCAACACCTTTTATTAAGAGCATGAGGATATACCTTATCCACAGCTGGAAATATTCCTTTTTGACCATCAGTCATTATTACCCAAGCCAAATTCCCACATGTGTCACCAGTGATTTTGTGTAGGTGTTCCAAAAACCACGTCCAACTTTCTTTGCTTTCAGACTCCACTACTGCAAATACAAATGGGTATCACCCATTATTCCCATCAAGCCCCACTGCACTAATTAAAATACCACCAAATGGACCTTTCAAAAAACAACCATCCAGACCAATAAATGGTCTACAGCCATCCCTAAAGCCATTTAATACTGCTGCAAATGATAAAAACATTCTTATAAACCTTGGTTCCTCTTCTTGTGAATGCTTTATAAACACTAAACTCCCAGGATTGGTTTTTTGAATCTCAGCTGCATATTTCCACAGTTTGGAAAATGAATCAGCATGGGTTCCTTCATTCTTTTCTAAAGCTTTCTTTCTAGCCCCCATCAAACATGCCTCACTTACTTCCACCTTAAAGTGATCTCTAACTTCTTGTTCCAACTTCTTTAAACTGATGTCAGGTTGATTTTTAAATTTGTTAACAAGTTTGTTTGCTATAAAAGTAGAAGTGACCACCTTGTTCTTAGTGGTTCTAATGCAAGTGTGTTCTGGACCAATTGTCTTAACCTTATATGTAACTTGGTCTTCCAATACTGTTGCATGGATTCTCCAATGACAACCTGGGTTCCCACAATGACTAGTCACTCTAATTCTTTCATTCTTCTTCATCACCAATTTGAAACCCTTTTGAACTGAATACTCCTTCAACACGGTCCTGAAATGATTGATGTTATCAAACAAATGATCCTTCACAAATTTAATCTCTCCATTAGCACCATACTTGAACACTATCCCCTTGATGTGTTGATGCACAAAACCTTTCCTTTCATCACCACTTTCTCCACTAAATTCAGCACTATCACTATAATCTGATAAATCTCCATAACTATTATCAGAACTCTCACTTTCTAATTCAATATTATCCCAATCATGTGCCTCATTTCCTTCATTTCCCTCATTGCAGTCCTCATCATCATCACTGTTTGAGAAACTGTAATTAGATTTCTGAGAATCATCACTGTCTTCATCTTCTCCCTCACTGTCTTCATCTTCCCCCTCAGAATTTTGTAGTGGACATTGACTGTCTAAATTAATTGGAACACCCTTGTCAACAAATTCAACAATTATATCTATCTCTCTAACATCTGAGTTCATTTCAAACATAATGATCATATCATCGTCCCTATTTAATAGCAGTCTACCACAATTCCCAGGAAATTTGTAAAATATATTCACTGCCATACCAGTCTGATTAGCATTTCTAAGCATAAATGCTTAAGCAGATGAATACAAGTCCAAGAAACTATATCCATTTGGATTTATCCCATTCAACACATGTACGTGACCATCAAAATTAAGTAGGAGATCATGGACTTTGTCATTACCCATCTGCAACTGAGAAAAAACATTAATACAAAATAGGTAAAGAAATTGTAATGCAATATGCATAAGATAGGATTGAATCTGTTCATGTTAACCAGAGCGGGACCCATGGTCCGTCATACAATTAACACAAACAGACCAATCACTAGTGTTGCAGAAGTCACTAACATGCAAACTTATACCACATAATCTTATTAATTTGTACAAGTATATCAACATAACCCCTAAATAATAACAACGATTTTATAATAAAACCCTCAAACATAAATTAATAACAAATTGAACATAAAACTCTCAATCAGAAACCCTAAATGTAACAAAAAAATTTAAAAAATAATAAATTAATAATATAAAAAAAAACGCTTATAAAAAAACCATATATGCAACTAATTTCATGAAATAACAACAAATTAATAAATAAAAAAAACCCATCAGAAAACCCTCAATCACAACACAAACCCCCCAAAATTCGAACGATTGATTACACCAACCAACCAACCTTGGCGTTCATGAAAAAAAAAAAAAAAAATGCTCAATCACAACACAAACCCCTCAAAATCCAAACAGTTGATTACACCACCAACCATCTTCAGTGTTTATGAAATAAGAAATTTATATAAAAATAAAAAATTAAAAAAAAATCATTAGAAATCCCTCAATATCTAAAGTTATATAACAAAGAAGCACAAAGTCACTATATATGCCGCAGAGGAAAGATTAGATCACTTACATTGAATGTGAAGAACAGAAAAATGAACAACACGACACAAACCACCAAGAATCCGAACTGTTGATCACACCAAGCAACTGACTTTAGCGTTCCAGAAATAAATGTTACATTTTTGGAGCAGATAAACAGTGAGAGAGATCGTGATAGAGAAATGAAAGGAAAAAAGGTAAAGCCTTTGGTTTTCTTTTAGATAAATAGTACTGAGAGAGATTGTGATCGTGATAGAGAAATTGAGAAGTTTAGCAAGACAGACAAAGGTGAAATAAATTGGGTAGGTGGGTGGGTAGTAGCTAGCGCCAAATGGCGCCATTTTGTGTGGCTGATATTAACTGAGGAGTATATTAGACATTTTGCCATGCATAATATTTTAGGATAAAAATGATTTAAATATTCAGGGGCAATTTTGTCTTTTCGCAACCAATAAGGCCTTGTTTGGATTACAAAACTGACAAGGGGTCTCATTGTTCAAAAAATAGCAAATTTATATATGCCTGTTAATACGGCAAACTTCAGGGGGTGTTGTTATAATTAACCCAAAAATAAATGACAATTTTGAATCATTGAATTTGAGTTGAATGATTATTTTAATTTTATTTTTGTTTGGCTCCTATTATTTATTATTTTTGGTCAATTTTAAGAGTTGAAAAATCAATCCTAGTCATGTCAACACAACCATTCCTTCCTTAGACACTATTAACATGTTTAAGTGTTCATCTTATTGGGGCACAGCAAAAGCAAAAAAAAGAAAGAAAACAATAAGTCAAACCACAACACAAGATATATACGTGGTTCATCCAAAATCAGGGTTACATTCACGGATGAGAAGAGATTTATTATATATATAGAGATATTATAATAGTAGAGAATTTCAACACCGGACCATGCACACAAACTCTTGACCGAGTTCTCTGTGTATGCCACGAGACTCCCTCTCGCCATCAGTGTTCACTCTACCAAACCCGTAACTCATCCCTACCATCATCGTACTCCCTCATGAGGTTACATCTCTCTCAACTCATAACTCTCAACAATAGCCTAAGTGTCTATTTATAGAGTCACATACCCAATTCCTTTGTGGACAAGGATTACAATTTCTTATAACCCAATTCACGTCTCTATAAGAAATTACCATAAAATTACACTCTAAAATAGAAACTAATAATAATGGGAATTTGAGATATAATTCCTAACAATCTCCACCTTAGCTCAAATTCCATTACGTTAATCACCGCTTCTTATGGCAATTGAATCTGGACAATTCTCTGCAATTTCAATCTTCGTGATCTTATTGCAAAACTCGGATTATCCCCTCACTATATGTTGCTCAATCAGTCAAACCCCAAGGCTCCACCTTGACTACTCAAGCTCCATGCTATGTAATTAAGCTGATTGACTCCACCTACAACTGAAGCCCGTTGTAGCACATGTTGAGACTTCTTGTGTTTTTTGGATCTCCTTCACCTTTGGCTCTGATACCAGTTGTTGGGGCACAGCAGAAGCAAAAGAAAGAAAGAAAACAATAATTCAAACCATAACATAAAATATATACGTGGTTCACCCAAAATCAGGGTTACATCCACAGATGAGAAGAGATTTATTATATATGTAGAGATATTACAATAGTAGAGAATTTCAACACCGGACCATGCACACAAACTCTTGACCGAGTTCTCTGTGCAGGCCATGAGACTCCCTCTCGCCATCAGTGTTCACTCTACCAAACCCGTAACTCATCCCTACCATCATCGTACTCCCTCATAAGGTTACATCTCTCTCAACTCATAACTCTCAACAATAGCCTAAGTGTCTATTTATAGAGTCACATACCCAATTCCTTTGTGGACAAGGATTACAATTTCTTATAACCCAATTCACGTCTCTATAAGAAATTACCATAAAATTACACTCTAAAATAGAAACTAATAATAATGGGAATTTCAGACATAATTCCTAACACATCTCTTGTTAACTTTTATGTCAAAATTTTATTAATGTTGCTGTTGCGTTTGAAAATACTAAATTCGTAATTTGAATTTGAGATTAACGGAAATTTAGTACAAATTTTGAAATAAATTTTCTCCAATCCTAAATTCAAACCGTCGTTTCGATACTCCCTCACATAGCATAAGGGCTTATTTGAATGACCCTTGATAATGAAAGACAAAATTCACAAATTATACAAATACTTTAAAAATGAAAATTTTATAATTTTAAATGAGGCCATTGTGCAAAAAAACAAGCTAATTATTATTTTTTTCAATAATTAAAACAAACTAATTAATTTTCAGCACCGTTAATGCAAATGACTCCATTCTAGAAATTTAATAATAACTACATTGAAATATTATGTATCATTGTTTGAGACTTTCAAATTAAAGACGACAAAATTGAGAAATTTGGAGAATGGAAAAGAAAATTATTGTGCCATCATGATGACAATCATTATAATTCAACAACGAAAGTCTTGAACATTTTGTTTCATAAAATCTCCAACAAATTGACCTAGAAACATTAATAAATAAATAAAACACGGAGACCTCATAATCTCATATGCATCTTAGATACATTTTGTTTCATAAAATCTCCAACAAATTGACCTAGAAACATTAATAAATAAATAAAACACGGAGACCTCATAATCTCATATGCATCTTAGATATTTAAGGAGTTGATTAGGTTAGATTATAATTCAACAACGAAAGTCTTGGAACATTTTGTTTCATAAAATCTCCAACAAATTGACCTAGAAACATTAATAAATAAATAAAACACGGAGACCTCATAATCTCATATGCATCTTAGATATTTAAGGAGTTAATTAGTTTAGATTGATAGGTTGACTTGCTTGAATGTGAGCCTTGGATTTCTCCTTAGATTCATGAAAAAGTGTGAAATAGAAGTTACTGTCTTTTGAAAATAATTATGTTTCCAAGGCATATTTGAAAGTAGAAACTCGTGCTTTAAGGATATTAAAATACTTAGGTCAAGATTCCTAATGAGATCTTGAAGGGGCTCTTTGGGATTATCAACTTACTGCTTTTAGGATTCAGATTTCTGCCCCGGCCACCCCCCCCCCCCCCCCCCCCACACACACACACGTATACTTTGCACTACGAGATCGTTTTTGTTACTCTAAAGACTCTTATATCAAAAATTACCACAACAAAACCCGTTGAGACTTTTATTTCTTTTCCCCGAATCCATAGAGACTTCTATCACTTTCTCTTAAATAAATAATAAAAAAAAAAAACCTTATTATACGGTGTTTTCTTTGTCAGTATTTCGTGATTTTTTTTTTTTTTTTTTTTTCACACAAAACACAATTTTCAAAGACTATGTTGGAATTTGGATGCAATGAAAAAAAAATTGAATAGATTGACTGATTTGACCATAATAGTGGTCATTTTTGCACAAATAATGTTACAATTGATATGATACCTGTGGATGAATTTTTGGTTTTTTTTTTTGTCCATTTTGAGGGACTATGTTGTCATACCATAGTTGAGAATGAATAAGCATCATTTCTTGTGCATTAAATGGTTTAGCACACAGAGAAGGGTGAAAATTACCCACATGGGTGGATACAGAAAATCCTACATGGAGTGATTTTTACTTTCCCGCCACCAGTGCACAGCACATCAGAGAATTCGAATTGGTTTAGCACACAGTGCACAAACAAACAGTGTGAAAGCAACCGAGAATTTTCTAGGCTTCTGGCAAATTGTTGCAGCCGATGTAGGAGGAAAGTTGAACATGGACCGGACCCATATCATTATTTATTTTCAGAATATAAAGTCTGCGTGTCAAGCATGTATAGCCTGTTGTTAATATCAATTGTTATGTCACCATGTGCTGTGTTTGTGTATATATACATATACATATATATGTGCATGCCCTATTCAAGAGATAGTAGTCACCGACACTCTCGTGCTTAAATTTCTAATTCTCTCTTCTATCTTTTGGCCATTAGGAAAACGTTTCTTTCCCTCAAAAAATGCATGGATACAAAATTTCAAATAAAACCCTAATTTCATGGCGGCACAAGAGAATATTATTTGGATGTAAACAAGCTCAATAATAGCTTCAGTGGACTCCTATATTCTTGAAGAATTGCACTGATTTTGTCATT